TCTCTCTCTGTCCCTCTCTCTCTTTCCCTCCGCAGGGAGATGAAGTGCTGACTGTCATTAAAACTAAGGCTCAGTGGCCGGCATGGCAGCCGCTCAACCTGTAAGTATCACTCAATGTCAGTTTCACTAAAGGGAAAAGGTACTTCTGTGAGAGATATGATTGAAATCAAAAAGAAAATCAAGAAATTGTGGAACAGTGTTAACACTGAACAGTAATTAACATTAATTTTTGCTGAGAAATCGGTGTGTTTTGACTACTTATTTGGTCATAATTGTGATTACCGAAAAGAAGAAAGTTAAGTTTTATTTACTTTCCTACATTGGGCCCCCTACATTAGAGCTCTCCATGGAGCATGAATCTTTGGGTTCGACTGAAAATATCAGCACTGTAATTTGTGTGCATGGACAGACACTAAAAACAGTTATTAAATGCTATCACATTTCTTCAAATAGGCACACAGGCAATTAAACAGCAGGCGGCTTACATTGTTACGCGTTCCTTTGTCCAATCTGTAATTTCAGCACTTCATACAGTATTTTGTGACTCAGCAAGTGTTAAAATAACATAAATTAAACGTAACATCTTGTGGGATTTGCTAGTAAAGTGAGCAACTATCTTCCGATTAAAATACAGTATAATACAGTTAGCCAACCCTGTTCAGCTACAGCAAGTTCAGGGAGGAGGCAGGTTTATTCGTAATAACAAAATGATTTATTGTTGACTGTTGTTGAATCACAAAACAGAAGTTTGTGTTTTAATTGTTTTTGAAGTGTTTTCATTCATCCTCTGCTTACTATCTTGCAATCACATTTTAGTTCGTAACAAATCATGGATATATGCACACTACATGCATGAGAGATACTGAAACAAAAATACTGCAGGAAATGCAAAACTTATTTTAAATTACATTTCAGTGATCTCATAGTTTAAGTACTTTAATTAGACATTTTGTAGTATTTCGATAGCATTATTTGTTTTTAAATAAATGTATTATATTAGCAAAAAATATTTCAGCGATTCCTCTGTGTACCACTAGAGGCAGAGGTCATTGTTTTAGAACCAGCAATCGAAAGGCTCAGACATCGTGAATCACTAATTAAAACATAACTAACACTATCTGGGCTTGTTTGAAAATGGAAAAATAATACCTTTTATTGACATTTGTAGGCCAGCCTGTTCCCACTCCCAACGTTTCAAATACAGCAGCTTGGTCAGTGGCCTTACACTGCTATCTATGACACTGTAGCTGCTGCTCTAGCGTTATTTCTGGAGACACCTCTCTAGCTTAATGTGCCATCGAAGTTAGGTCATTTGGTTGGATGGGTCAGACACAGAACTTTCATCAAGGAGACCAATGTCAACACTGACTTCTTTTTTGCACATTTATGATATGAATTTAATAATTTAATATATATAGGATATTTTTTAAAAGCTGCTTGTTAAATGCTAACGGAAAAAGCGGTAATGATTCTGAATGTGTTGGAACAACCAGCAAGGAGACTGAACATTTAGTTCATTTATTTCAACACAGTATAATGTCGCACAAGTCCCGTTGTTCAAAACACAGAATAAAAAAATTCCAACTTCCAAAAACAAAAACTGATGGACCTATCAATACGATGGATGATGGCTAAAGTTAACACTTACTTACAAATTAACTCCCTACAAACTCCCTTTTAATTCCTGTCCTGTTCCTGCCTGAAATCGCTGTGTCTTCATCCCTAAAGGCATAGTCCTAGTCAGAGCTGCTGTAGATTCAATGGCCTCCGTTTGTTGGCCATAATCCATGGCATATTCCCTTCTGGGTCCCCCGCTCCTACGCTTCTAGTGTAAACTCCCCCTGTTGTTCAAGCTCCCAGTCCGGGTACAGACAGCTTATAGGACTGCTAACTAGCCAGTTGCAGCAGCTAGTACAGTTATGCAACAGTGCACCAGTAAGCGACTCCGTATGATACAAGAGAAAAGGTCTGCCTTGCAACAATCCTTCTTCCAGGTGACAAGGCGCACGTCCCGAACAGCGTTTGACATTTTAGTTATTCTTGCGACTATCCGACTAATGAAAAGTGTGTCGACCAAGGCCCTTCTTGACGTCTAACGGTTAAGTCAACTATTAGGGGGCAGCCTTTGTTCCCACAAATATGTCCAAAAACTGTTCTGCCTTCTTTCGGAAAATATGCACCAATTGGCACAATAGCTGATGTGTCAGTAGTTTATATTTACTTACACAAATGTGAAGAGAATTTAAATTTCTGTTTTTTTCTCTGTTCACCTGTGAGGTATTCAATTTTACATCAAGTTGAACATGAACATGTCGTCCATACTGGACATGGATGTCTCGATAATTTTTTCTGTTTTCTGGATAAAAACCTGCTATTTTGGTGTCTCAACATTCTCTCTAGGTTGAGAAAATTGTCTAACCTTGGAGTTATAAAATGTTCTGGTCTGATGGTCAAGCTAAAAACAAGGCTGATTTTCTCTATTCTTGAGAAGCTGATATTTTGGAGGCCCACAAAACAATATACAATGTGTTCCTACTGTGTACACTACAGTGTTCCTTCAAGCCAAGATGATTCGGTGTTTTTTATCTAAGGCGTATAACAATCTCTTTGGCTTTAAGTAAGCAAAGGTATACAGAATTCTTGTTCAGTGATCTGTATGTAGTAGTAAGTTCAGAAATACTGGATAATCAACAGAAACAGTATGTATGTATGTATGTATGTATGTATTATAATATGTATATGTATATTTTTCTATTTAATTTTCGCTACAGGATTCTTTGATAACATTCCCATGAATCACAAAGACCTGTATTCCTAATTAGCAGGTTAAAAGCAGTAATTGAAAGTTGGAAAAACTTCCATGTCTGACACGTCCAATCAGCTATAAACTATAATTGAAATTCAGATACTATTGTATTGTAATGTGTGAATTTTACAAAAACTGACTCTTAATTGTTTTATGATTCCTTCCTTTATGCAAAAGGGAGGATGGCTTGTCTGAATAGTCTCACACTCTGGCATCCTGTGCACTCTTTGAAATTAGTTCAAGAGCAATTAGAAACTTATCACAATTCTAGCCCTCAGCACTGCATGAGCATGAGCACACACACACACACAGAGACTCTAATGTACTGTATCTTTCACCAAACATCTGTTTAATTACCCCTCCTAGCGTTGTCTGTCATTTGCGATATATTATGCCACTATTATTTTAACTAATGAGAACATTCACACACATGCATGTGCACCCACACAGTCACACACTCGCTGTAAATATGAAATATTAGCTCATTTAGTTAAATTTTGCATGAAAAGTTGTCAAGTTAAAATAGTTGTGTTTGCGCTTATGTCTTATCTCTACCATGGACAATTTTTTTGTAAAGAAACGTCAAATTACCCTATTATTATCTTTTTATTTTCAGTAGGCTTTGGACATTCAGAGAGAATATGCAATTATGAGCTCTTTTCTGCCTCTAATTGGATGTTTTGGAGCTTTAATTATCCAGCAATTAGCAGAGTGTGACTCGGGTCAGAGGTCATGACATCAGAACTGACTTGCAAGTAATTAACTAAAAATTGCAACAGCAGAGTGTGGAGTGAAAATGTTTCTGAGATGATTATGTTTACAACATACTTAGGCTTGTCATTTCATATAAATAATTTCATATTAATATTTAAAATGTAATTTATTCTGGATATTTTCTTTATTTCTTTTTTGTCTTGACATTGCTCACACCCATCACCAGGCGAGCAGCTCCATCAGCAGAGTTTTCTGTGGACCGGACCCGTCACCTGATGTCCTTCCTCACCATGCTCGGGCCCAGCCCAGACTGGAATGTCGGACTGTCAGGAGAGGACCTCTGTACCAAGGAGTGTGGCTGGGTCCAGAGGCTGGTGACAGACCTCATTCCCTGGGATGCAGGCACTGACAATGGTGTCACATATGAGGTAATGTATCCAAATGTTGGTGGTGGTAGAAACATTCAGTACAGGGTTGCAGTTGTGTCAGTCTACTAAAACTGTCCTATAACATTAGGTCAGTAATGTTATAGGACTGTACATTTTCACTCTCGTCTGTTCTAACACTCTAAACTGTAATCTTAGCTTGAGAAATGCCATTCCCTTAATAAATAGTAAGCCACCTTTGTTAGCTAGTAAAGTTAAGTTAGCTACTAGCTAGCTACTTTGGCTTTGCATCTCAATCACTGACTCCAATGCGATACACATCTTGATGCATTACCAAGAATCAAATGGGATATGATAGGCCTGTTGCGATACATGATTTAATTCAGCACAGTGCCATTCAACGGTGCACATAATGCCTGACGAGGTGTCGGACAGTTGCGCTCTCCATTCTATTAATCCCTGACTGTGGACACCAAAGAGCATTATCCCGCTCATACTCTGTTTCCCTGGTAACACCTGAGTTATTTCCTAATACCTGGAAGAATCATTACCATCCCATAAAGTTCTAATGCAATGGAACTGTTGTTCACTACTCCAGTAAACAGAACAGACCATAGATACGGCTTAGCAACGGGAGATATTTCTAGTTCCCTCCGCTCACTGAGCGCTTTTGCTCAGCTACGTGACAGAGAGCTAACGTTATGCTAGCAAGATTCAAAGTCAATAGCACTGCGTACTGTCGACAAACCATGAATATAATTAGACAGTATGTTTAAAAACAAGACTAACTAGCTATCAGCTATGTCATTGTCCCCAAAAACAATATCAAGATTTTCACAAACGATAGGGAATGACTGAATGGAATGAGTGTACTGACGGCCGCTGCCTAAAGTAGCGAGCTGAATAGCGCATTAATGTAGAGCGGTGTTCTACATCAGGAATTAATGGACACTCATCAGCCAATCAGAATCGAGTATTCACCCAGACCATGGTATGAATGAATGTATCTACTCTAGCTCAAGAGTCTTTGCTACAGACATTCAACCACATCTAAAATGGCCATTAAGGATGTATTACATCAGTCAATACAAGGACATACTGTGTATTAGACACATATGTTAAGGAGAACTGATACACTCTAATTGTTAGACATAAAGTTGTTGCTCTAGCTGACAGATAAAGTATATAGCATATTATTATAAGGTTTATTGCTCACTAGCTGTTGGCAGCAGGCAGCATTTATTTCAAAACTTCACATCAGAGCACACTTGACTTCCACCTGTCTGTTCCTGTGACAGACTTTTCTACATCCTCAAAATGAAAGGTGCTCATCCATATTCACCCACTGTTCTGAGACTACAGCAATTTATTTATAGTTTACAACCTCATGAATAAGCAAGGAGCTTATCCTGCTGAGGGTAGGTGGTAAATACCTTTAAAAACTTCACTAACACAAAACCAGACCTCTTTCCATTCTACTTCTGGTACTTTTTAAATGCATTTTTTAAAGCATTCTTGTCTGTTCTGGGCCTGTTTGTAGTCTCTTTGTTTTTCTCTTCAGCCCTCTGACCCACACTGGCACTTGCTTATTTGTATTTGGTTCACTATTCTAAATTATAAAACATTGTGAGCATATAGGTGAAATAGTTAAGGCAGTCAGCGTTGTACTGAACATATTCAAAAGTAAACATTAAACAGCAGTGTTTCTATTCCCTCTAGAGTGAGGCAAATTGATGATTTGAGAGCTTTTAAGTCATGTGTGTTCTGATATATGTATGTGAAAAGTCTTTGGTTAAATTATATAATGCAGCTCTGCTTATACATTGTTGTTTCACTGGTTCAAAGGTCTTTTAAGTTAAAGTTTCCAAGCTAATCGTGTATGCTTCCATGACTCTTTAACCTGAAAGTCAAAACAAAATGTATAATTTTTTAGGTTTACCCTCAGATAAGCATACAGCAGACATTAAATCACTGCCACCTACAGACAAAGACATTGAAGTACATGTCTTCCAGACCCTCTGCATGTACATCTTTGCATTGTATGAAAAGCAACATTTTTCTGTATGCAGACCTCCCAAGTAAAGTTTGTAATTGTCTCTAACAGTGATGGATGTCTTCTGTTTGGTCTCATTCCCCACAATCTTTTTAAACCAAAAGGCCAGAGAAAAAACTTTTAGTGAACCTGTAAAGAGAATCATCAGCATTGTTGTTACAGCACTGTAGATGAGGATATAACTTCATATCTCCTCTAATACTTCCTTTGTAGATGTCTTCCCTTTGTCTTATCCAGTACTCCTGCATATATTAAACAGAAAGTTGGTTTGAAACGACAACGTTGAGTTAACCTGTCAGAACAAAGAGAATGATTCATGTTTGTCATGTGTTTTCATCTTTTCTCTCTGTAGAGTTTTTTTTTTTTTAAGCTCTAACAATACATGGACACACACGCCACCGCACACACCTGGAAACAATGCCATGAATCTCTTATAAAAGGGCTGTTAAAACGCATATAAATGATTCATGGTGAGATCAAACAGAAAAGATGCCCTGGACCAGATGGCTTATGGGAGAAACAGTGACTATAGGTGATGATTTCGGGCCCTACCTCATCATTTTTTGGTCAGATTGGAGTCTGAATTCAATGCAGCTATTGTAATGTTATTACTTTTTATTAATTCTAGTTTGCATGCATAAATTGCTGCCGTTCTACTGTTTCTTCCCTCCAGAGAAATCATGTTGTTCTCTTTTTAAAAGCTTGTTTCACAGACATGCAGACGCTATGTGCTTCTATTGGATTAGTATTCTTGTCCCACAAATAATTCCCATGCCCTAAATTTTGGCTGTTTAACTTTGATTACTCTAACCATTCCTCAGTGGCGGACTCAGACTCTCTTCCCTCAGGCGTATTTGATACTCAATATACAAGTGCAGATGTTTTCCTCCAGGACACTAACCATTTCAACACCAAGTGTATAATGTGTACAATGCTAATGTGGGAGTGTGGGAATAGTTACCCTTCAAATCATGACCTGATCTTCAACTGTAGCATCTTATTTGCGCACGTCCATTTTCCCCTGAAGAGCCGCCAGAGCTAATTCACCTTTATATTTACATTGCAAACTCTAACACATCTATCCAGGGAGGTGACAGTGAAAACTGCAGTTTGGTGCTGGGCATGTGAGCTGCCTGCGGTGCCTTGTAAACAGCACTGATCAGAATGGCAAGATTGAACAACAACTGGAAAGTTGGGGGCATAAAACCCAAACAATGAGCTGAAAGACGCTAAAACGCTCTGTATAGAGATGAGGGGAACTGCAGAGTTGGATGATAATTATTTGTGGGTTCATCACCACAGGCAACACCTTTCACATGGAACACAGTCATTTGATCCATTGTTAATATAAAACTATAGATTATAGCAGCTATAACCTTTGTATAATGTACTTTCTATCTAATATGCTCAGTTGTTTTTTTTTGGCCTGTTACAGTCACCAAACAAGCCCACCATTCCTCAGGAGAAGATCCGACCCTTGACCAGTTTGGACCACCCCCAGAGCCCGTTCTACGACCCCGAGGGAGGGGCAATTACCCCTGTAGCTAAGGTGTTGGTGGAACGTATCGCTAGAAAGGTACAGTGTAAATGTGTGTGCGACTGTGCGTGTATGCACTCGTGTAACATAAAATGTTTCAGAAACGATCTGATGAGTTGAGCTGTGGTCAGTTGCACAACAAACAAACAAACAACCCTGTCCTCTTTTTACAAAAACATGTTACCACAGTAGAGACAACTCCGACCAGCAAGATGGAGACAGCCAGAGCATTCTTGCTAGCTTGACTACACGTACTTTAAAGGCATCATTTCAATAACCTACATAAGTAACTTTATCATTTCTTTATTACTCCTCCACTGTCATAAAGTTTCACTCAAATTCTTTAATATGTGTAAGAAATATCTGATTATATGATTATATTTTAATTAAAAGTTGACAATTGTCGCCAGCAAATTCACTAAATTTAGCTATTTATTGTTGATTTTGTGAGTTGGCCAAACAACATGAAACTCATGTAGTCATATCATTATTGTATTTTAAGTATTATTGAGTGATTTCAAGTATATTACTAATATAATATCTTAGTAAATGTAAGCTGAATTTATTGTATTTTTGTATCTGATAGTCTTCATGTTGAAACAAGATTACTTTAAACTTGTTAAACTATGTGGACCACAAATACAAACCTTTATGTTAACTTCTAGAAATGTATTATACATTTATATTTATTAAATTGTAATGGTAATATTTTGCCCCACTGTAACCAACGCAACTTGTTCAATACCATTGTCACACACACAGCCAATGGTGATCTATATAAGATAACTAGCAGCCAGTGGTCAAACTACTACATTTAAGTGAAAAAATGAAGTTTGGTGCTCAGATTGTTTTGTCTTCGGATACATTTTCGTGTGTGACCCTTTTTTCCCTTGTGTGTGCAGGGAGAGCAGTGCAATGTGGTCCCAGACACCATAGATGACATTGTAGCTGATATTGGACAGGAGGAGAAGGAGGAAGGTACAGTAACACACAAACACACCTACACTGAACACACACACTCCCTCTCTCGTGATTACAGTTCTTCAGGGTCAAGATCCTGAACAAGATACGATGGATTACCTTAAAGGGATTGGTTGTCCGTTTAAGTAATTATTCAAACCCTGTCATTACATGATATTGCATTCCTTTAAGTTCTTTGAACCTGACTGTTTCCTCAATTCAATCTGTGTTTGCAAAATATTCACTTTAACTACCAACTTACAGACTGAGCAGATACTGTGGGGATTTGGTGTCTTATGATGATCAAGGACACACACATAGCTCATTACAGACACAACTGGTTGAAGCAGTCTCAGATGGGCTCAGGTCAGATAGTCAGAATACACATCTGGCAGGGCTTTGTCTCCTCCCTGCTGTGAAGAGGTGAGCACCCCACTGCTACAGAGCAACACAACTGCGTCTGGAGCAAGTCCTGTCTTTATCAAACACACTTTGTATTCTGTTATGCCTCACAGACCCTGTCACTCTGGACAAGGATGTTTCAGCAGCGCTGCACATGAAATCAAATAAAGTTTCTTTTCCTGTCTCAACTTCTCTTCTCACATTTTTGCTATTTGATATTTGGACACAGGACAAAAACATTTAGGAACTTTACAAACCCTGTCTACTTTAAATTGCATTCATGTACAACTAATTTGTATTGGCAAAATAATTTTGTAAGAATAGTAATTAATGCCCGGTTCATGTTTTTGAGGAACATAACAAGACGTTATGACAAGATGTCAGCCACCTGTGACGCAACCCAACAAAGCAGTCACACCTTTATTTATGCACAAGTTGACTCCTTAATGTAGTACAGGTAGTTGTATAAAAATTCGACCCCTCTATAGTTGTCATAAAATTGGGCATTTTAATATAGGGGCTTATGGAGATTGACTCACTTTTGGAGCCAGTCTCAAGTGGCCATTTGAGGGACTGCAGCTTGTCGCACTTCCGTGTTGACTTCATTTTTTAGCCACAGAGGTTGCCACTTGGTATTTACTTTCTTGCAGTAAAATGAGAAGATTAATTACTGTTTGTTTAGTAGAGCGAGGAGGCAATAAGCTTATCTTAGCATAAAGACAGGAAGCAGGAGAAAGAACTAACCTGGTATCTCCAAAGTTTAAAAATATGCCAACACCCCTAACAATCATCAATTAAAATGTTCAATCTTGTTTGTTATGTGCTGCAGCTATTCTCAGCTGACGGCAGTGACTTACTGGAGTCTTGTCATCACAGTAATTTACTATGCCCAGTTGCTGTTGGCCAACAGATAGGTCCAGCATATAACTCCTAAAATCACAACTTGTCCTGTTGAAATTTCTGTTTGTGTACTGACGAGGCACACATTAATTAGTGAACTTTAGAGGAGTTGTTAGTGTTTTTTACCTTTGGACAGGCAACCGGTTACTTCCAGTTTTTATGCTAAGCTAGCTTCATACTTTACTATACCTTTAAGATTAGGGAAAGACTGTAGTCTTTTTGACTTTAAGCACAAAGCAGAACATATTGACTGAATCAATATATATCCTATATATAATATATATTTCCCTTAACTTAAACAAGTGTTTTAAGGTAAGATGAGATATGATAGTAGCCTTAACCAAACTGGACCATCCAACCTGAACTCCTCCTTAGGACCTCTATGCAAATAATGTCTGTACTCCCTGGTTTGAAAAAAACACTGCCAGTGAACAGCAATGGCAGCAACGATGATCCCCCCAAAAATATATAGTGTATAAACCCCTCTGATTTCTTGCGCTTTTTCCTTTTCCTTTTTTAATCCAGCCCTTACAGGGATCAGTGCAGTGACCTTATAGTTACAAGATGAGTTGTTCTTTATGACCTTTACTAACCTGCAGATGGACAGGACAGCCCGGTCTATGATGCTGTTTGTGTTGTACATGCTTTGTGCTTATTTTTACAGTAAGTGGCCTTGGCTAGGAAGCAGGATCTTGCCCATACAGCAGAATTCCTAACAAGGATCTCCTGTCGCCTAATAAATGTCCTCCTCAGTCAGTCATAGACCATTTGCTTCTTTCCCTCCTCCTTTTCCCTCCTCTCTTACTCTACCTGTCCTCTCCTTCTCCCTTGTTTCCACTCTTCTCCGTGTGAGATGTCACTACGGAGGGAAGGATCCATTCAGGCTGGTCCCCTTAGTCCGCCCGGAGCTTCACTGCTTTCACTTACACATCAACCCAACTGTGCTCTTACCTTCCTCTCTGCGTCTCCAGCTCCTTTCTTCCCTCATTCTCCTCTGTCATTACACCTTATCCCAGAGAATTGGACCCACTCAGGTTTGTCCCTAAGGCCTGACGGTATATTCTCTCTCGCCTCTCCTCTCATTTTCTCTGCCTCTCTGAACCCCCAAGAGAGCATTATTAATTGAAGCCAGTACCCCTGCTAATTCTTGTAGCTCTGCTACCACTGATAATTAGACAAGACATTCACAAATCACACTCTTCTTTCTCTCCAACTCCATTCCTCCACTCCTTCCTCTCCCCCCTCAGATGTCACTCTGTGGCCTCTTGTGGTCCAGTACCATCGGTAATCACCTTCGGATACGGTGTTAAATGATCAATGTCAGCCCATTCCTCCATCCCCAACCCCTCCTCTTTACTGTGACAAATCAGCTGTAATGGAATGAAATGGAAATGGAAGGGTTTTTTAAAGCACATTTTACTGGTAACAATGACCATGTGATCTCAGTCAATGACTGAATGAGCAGCAAATTTTAATGAAAAATATTAAAATGTCTCTTTTTCCTCTGTATCTCTTCCATTCACTAAACATCCCTGCGTGTTTCTCTTTTAGATGACACACCAGAGACGTGTATCTACTCAGGCTGGTCTCCCTGGTCGGCGTGTAGCAGTGCTACATGTGACAAAGGCCGCAGGATGAGGCAGAGGATGCTGAAGGCCCAGTTAGACCTTAGCGTTCCCTGCCCACACACCCAGGATTTTGAGCCTTGCATGGGGCCTGGATGCAGTGATGAGGGTGAGTATCTATCTAAGACGGAAGGGTACTGTGTTCTCGAGGACAGAAAAGTCCAGGTTGATAATGACGTAAAATACATCTGAATTAATTTGAATTCTCTTAAGGTTCAGCATCCTCTAAGCACCTTTATGAGCATTATTAATCTCTTTGATCATTTTTATTGACATTTTAGGATAATTGCTTCCATTAATGTTCAGACATTCTAAAAATAAGTATTTGTTGTAGACCATCGATAATACCAAAGGTATTATTCTACAGCAGTAATTAAGTGAGTGCAGAAGAAGAGGCAAGAAGAGCAAGGTTATTTAAGGCTTATCTTCTGTTACTTTTTTCATTGCATCTCCCTCTTTATGTATCTTTTTGTCTCCCCACAATCATATTTACACCAGAGGAAGAAGGTTAGGTGTAGATCAGTCATTATGTCACTCATTGTGTTCAACAATGGAAACTAGACCTGGTTGCCCATTAAGGTAGACAGGCAGACATATTGTGCTTCTAGGGGTTTATTATTTGGGCCTTTTTTTACACCTGGATGCTGATTATGTAGACATATTAAGACCCTTACTTCTGATAAATGATAAACTTTGTTTATATAGCAAAGTTGTCTTCAAAGCAAAGTTACAAAGTGCTTTACAAGGCTAAAAAAGATTAAAACACGTCAGCACCACAGTTAAATCAAATGGGCAAATAAAAGTACAGAAAATGAAGACAAAATTATATATTGAAAATAGAATTTCATATGTCACAATAAATTAATTGGCCATAGATTCAGTCTCACAGATTATTGGCAAAAGAAAGTAACTCCTGCATCGTCCTGTGGGTGCCCGTAACCCATGCACTCAGGCGTCCTTTTTCAGCGTAGCTTGGCTGTCTGCCTAGATACATCAATGGCCCAAAAATAACATCTTGGAGTGACTATGTTTAAAAAGGGCTATAAACGCTACATCATTCATCTGATGTGGCTGTGAACACCCTGAAATTGAAGCTGGAAGTTAGCATTTTAACATCACAATCATGTTTCAATTCAAATCCAGTGAGCTGGTGTACAGATCTAATACGACAACAAAAAATGTCTTAATATTTATCTCCCGACACTTTACCTCTATACCCAAGCTCAACCGCTACTGAACAATATGTCCCATTCCCAGAATTCATATTGGCCTTAGTCAGTCAAATAATATATTTATTTTCACAGTAGAAACTGCCACCTAACTTCAACTTTATATTTCCTTTACTGATTACACATATGTGGTGTAACAGTATAGTTTGCCTAAATAAACTCAAATATTACTGGGATTGTCTAGGATAGGAGAATTTAACCTTGATTGAGCTTAAAATCTTTAATAATAGAATGGCAGTGTTGTGGCAGTGTGAGTGTTTAGCACTTTCACTTGAAAGCCTGATTTTCTGTCCTTATATCAAAAGGGAGACTGTTCCCAAGGGCATCATCACTGAGATGTTTTGTGTCTCACTTTTTGGTACAGTGAGCAGTAGAGAGAAAGATCTGATGGCTCTATCAATGCCTTATCTGCAGGGGAATATAAGCATTATTGTCAGAGGGAAAGTCCTTGAATTTATTTATAGACAAGTAATAGAATCAATCCTAAAACTATCTGGAAGAACTTAATAACAGGGATGATGTGAGATATTTTCTTTGGTCCAGTTAAAACTGTCAGCAGGATTTTGCACAGACCTTAGAGTAACGCACTGTAGTAATCAAGCCTACTTAAATATATGCGTAATGAAGGCATGCGCAAGCTTTTCTGTAGTTCATGTAGTAATGGTCATTTTTTGTTGAAAGTATGCTGTTTTAGTTATATTCCTTATGTGCAACTGGAATATTAGATTGACTCAATGATACGCACAAAAGCACCCTAATTTCTTTCCTGCACTGTAATTTGCAAAAACTGAGCAGCTTTACGAAGTTCAACCCGACAAGAAACCAAACGAAAAGTTTGTTTGTGCTGAACACTGACGCAGAATTTATAACATGAATAACAATGGGACTAGAGATGAAATATAGCCTCTTGGCTTTTACAGCAGTGTTTTATTAATGTGGACTGTCCCTGTTAAATAAACCAACAAATCCACTCAACAACCCCAAAAATGAAGCCCAGAGCAAGTTCAATCAGAAAGACTATCTTTATTCCTCATTCATTCACATTTCTTATTCTCACTCTTTTTGTCTCCTATTCTATCAGTTAAATCAATCATGTCGTTACTGTCAAACTTAAATCTAATCTATCAGAAGTCTACTCGTCATCACATCCAGATCTTCAGCCATTCTCTGCATCCTTTCACCACTGCCACCAGTGTCGAGGCTACACCTGGGGGGTTTCCTATACTAATCGCGGCTTTACCAATCCCTTATGATGACGTCACTATTTGTCATTCACGCTTTATTGTGCACATGTCAATTAAATGTATTTGTTCATTCAAAAGGAAATCTCTTATAGTCTAGTCTTATTGAAATGACAAAACAAGCTGTGTATTGCACTCTGTATGTACCGGTGCAGCAGATGAAACAATGATGCAACAAGCTTTTAAATGTTATTAATGTGTGCTCCAACAGCTGTAACGGGCAAACATGTCACAAATATATATATCATGACAGTTCACTGGTAGAAAAAATATAATCATCGCTGAGCTCTGTAAAAACTCTGTGGTACCCCCACCTAAACTAGACAGTTAAGAGCTCAGTTTGTTTTGCATCCATTTTTGACTTCAAATTTGTGTTGTTTTTCTTCTTTTCTTTCACCTGCAATAGTCCTACACTGTCCCACATTTTAGAGAAGTCATCTCCTCTCAACACTATTTAGAGTCTAAATAGTCTAAATTTTAGACTAATGTCAATCACACATCCAACAAGATGAAGCAGTCTTTCCTATTTGGACCTGTTTTTCTCTGTGAAACAGAGCCAAACAGCCTTAAGCCAGGAAATTAGTATTTAGGTAAAGAAAGAACATAGAAGCAATTTACAGCAGTCTGTGACAAGACAAATAGCATCTATTAAGCTACAAATTCATGCATTTTATTTTCCTGTGCCTTTAAAGGTCCAGTGTGCAACATTTAGAAGGATC